TGTATGACCTGGAAAACTGCGTAAAACTTGAAATCTACTTTGTTTTGTAATGACATTAGTATTATCTATATCAAAACTCGAATCTCATAGTTTTTTCTCTATCAAAACCCGAATATCATAGTTTTACATTTGTTTTCGCAACTCTAACATATATTAATAACAAAACTCGGTTATCAATTTCAGCTAATTTAGGAAAAAAACTCTCACGTATCCCTTACGAGACCTTGTAATTCCAATAACACGTTGGTGGCCAAAGACATCTTACAAACGAAACTTTCGAGTTATATCTATTCGCTAATATAATTGCACAGAACTATATATATAACAATTTAAACTAATAATATTGAAGGTAAAACTAGATAACCAATTCAAATAGATTAGTAACACTAAATAAATTAGAAACCGACAAAAATATAACTATGACCAAAGTTGGGAATACTAGTATCTTGGGTATAACTAAGAACAAAGTTTTTTTGGGCAATTAATATTAAAATCGTCTAAATTATCTCAACCACACAATACTCTCAGTTTGACTTTTTATCCCTTTTTCATCTCTCCCTCTCTCTCACTTTTCCCCTTTTTATCCCATTTCCTCTCCCTCTCTCTCTCTCTCGTGTCGGGACCCCGAGAGTCTCTCTTCTCTATTTTGAGAATCGAATTCTCTTCCCCCCCCCCTCGCCGAGCAAGTGAGATGGAAAAAGTGAAGATGGAAGTGGGTTCGGGTTCGTCTTTTTCGCAAAGGAGCCGCCGATTTTCTTGTCTGAGGTTGTGTCACTGTGGCTTGCCGGCGAAAATAAGGCAAGCTTGGGCTGACAAAAATCCTGGTCGACACTTTTATGGCTGTCTGCGTTTTAAGGTATGAATATATGATGGAATCTGGATATAATGGAATCTGGATTGGGTTTGAATTTTGACCTTATTGCAGCTTGGAAATGAATGCAAGTACTTCTCTTGGTTCGATGAAGAGGATGGTACAGAATGGCAAAGGAGAGCATTGCTTCAAGCCCGTGATGAAATCCGGGAGAAGAATAAAGTGATTGAGCAATTACAGAAGACCATTTCTGAAATGAAAAGTCATTTGGAGAAGAAGAAGACATGGAAGGGCGGGAATGACGAAAATGAAGAAGATGACATTGTTAGGAAGTTTGAAGAATTGTATGCTTAGTTTAAGTGTAGTGTTGAAGAATTAGTTTTCCTAGTATTTCTAGTTTTCCTAGTTTTCATTAAGTTCTCCTAGTTATCCTAGTTGTCCTAGTTTTCATTAAGTTCTCCTACTTTTCCTAGTTTTCCTTAAGAGGCACATTCAAAATATAATCATAAGAACTTCCATGATAACAAGATTGCAACATCCATGATAACAAGAACAAGTTCCATCAAACATACCTAATAAGTCAAGAGGTTTCCAACATCCACACAACAACAAAATAATGGGTCCAACTTCCCACAAAATACATAACCGAGTTTACAAAATACATAACCGAGTTCTTCACTCCCTGCTTCCTTGCCATTCATCCATAGCTTTCTTCATAAACGCTTCAAACGGAACCACCATCCTTTCCTCAAACTTGTCCATTGTCTTCTTAACTCTCTTTAACTGAGTGCCAAACATTTTCACTTGTTTGATCAACTCCTTCATCATCTTCTTCTGGCTTGCGCCTCCTTCCTCTCCACCTTCTTCGTCATCCTGATCTTCGTCGACAGCCTCTTGTGCATTTGGATCACGGGCAGCAACGTCTACATCATACATCTCTTCAAAAAAGACTGAATGTCCTTCTGCAAGACGCTTTACCCAACTGTCAACAGAAATATCACCGACATCAACGTCGCCCTCCTCTTCAGTCAGCTCTTCCAAAAGAGCTACTTCGTCTTCTGTCTTGGTAGGAAGGATGCTGTGGATATCCCCTGACTGATACCAAAAAATTAAAACAAAAAATAATCACATGTTAGTATAATGCTACAACATTTTCAAAGTTTGTAGCACAAGAAACATTACAACATTTTCAAGATTGTAGCGGAAGAAACATACCGTTATTTTGTCCAGTTCCCGATTCAATTTTGAAAGTGAGAACCCTTTCATCCCTGCTGATTTAAAGACTGATCTGCACATCCTAGGACAGTCTACATG